CCGCATATCCATACAAAAAAGGGCGTTTGGGATATGCTCGCTTAGAGGAAAAAATTGTAAGTAAATATAAACTCTATGATCTTATTAATTCTCTCAATGTGTTATATAGTTGATGATCTTAAGACCTCCGTCATTGCATAGTTAGAAGAGACGAAAAGTGACGCAACATCACTACCGGCACATTTGTTGTGGAAGGAAGCCCGTGTGGGCAAGGATCAAGCTGTTAATCCCGATATTCAACATGTGTATGATGAATGTGTAAGTATAAGATTGTGTCTTTAGTTAAATCAATTAATGTTTATTAATATTTAAGTAATTTTTTATCTCCACTAATAATTTTTTATATGTAATTGAATTACAGGAGACCTTGTCCCAATCGGTATCCCCAGGTGAGGATCCTCACGATACCAGGAGCGTACTTAGTCGAGCACTAAATATTGCTGAGTATCCGGGTCGGGTGAGGGGTAAAGGTCATGGTGTGACTCCAACCTCTTTGTATAAGCATCCAAGGAGAAGAAATCCTAGCAATGCAGAAGTGATGCAAACATTGCAGGATTTACAAGCTCAAGTTCGTGAATTGCAGAAGGATAAAGAGAGATATATGGCGGAAAAGAGCAGTTCACAATTGAAAGAAACTAGTGACAAAGCTAGTATCAACTTTCAACATAAATTTCCCGAGGTAATTTTCAATATATATCCGTTATTACTATAGAATATTTTTAGTCACTTCTAACGGTTATTATTGGTTTAGGGCATTTCATCTTGCCAGCTATACCTATCGTCACCGACTTATCGACTAGTTGGCAAGGGAAAAGTCCATAACAGCTCGGGAGATTTACTTCATAATAGACCGCTTCCGGATGGTCACATGAAAGTATCGGTTGACATTGCTTTAGATATGGATGCATTGCTGCCGGTACCTGACATTGTTGCTGAGACCACATTGCTGCGAGATGCAATTGGATCTTTTGTTGCATGGCCATCCGACCTCATTTTCATAGATGATCAGGTATGTTGAAAACAATTATGAATCTTTAAGTCTTCAACTGTCAGTTCTGACCTCAGTTATTTCCACGGTAATTATAGACTCCTACAACACCTGCATCTAAGGGTAAAGGGATTTTGCGGCACGACGAGTCTGACGTATCACCAAAAGAGGTACGTTTAAAGTGTTAATTATATGATCCGAATAAAAAACTGCATAATTTTATAATTTAACCGAGTTTATATGATTTTTAGGTACCTTTTCATGGGTCACAACAAGTGAGCCAGAAAATCGTTGGCGTACCACCCAAGAAAAGGGTGCCTACTAGATTTTTCCCTCGATACCGGAAGTGTCTTGAAACAATAGTGGGAACAACAAATTTGATGGATGGTGGTATTCGTCAAATTGATATGGATCAAGGCATTTTTGGTTTTCCTTGCACAGAAATAATTGGACATGAGGACGTGGAACAGATTTTCCGTCATAAAGAATTGGGCGTCAGTATTATGCACGCATACATCCGGTAACCCCATCTTTATATTATGTAATTAGCTGAAATCTTTTTTAAACATTTTCAATGAATATACTCTAATATTAATTATGTTTCTATTTAAGGTTGTTATATGACAAATTGATGCGCGGGAATCAATTGTCAAACAGATTCCATTTTGTGTCTTCCTCCCGTGTCAGCGGAGCGACAATTGGTAGGGAACCGGATTCAGTAAGAGAGCACTTAGTCGAAAGATTCATGGCAACTGGCAGTACAGAAAGCTTATATCTTTGGGCGTATAATACTATTCCTACAGGATGGTGGTATTCGTCAAATTGATATGGATCAAGGTATTTTTGGTTTTCCTTGCACAGAAATAATTGGACATGAGGACGTGGAACAGATTTTCCGTCATAAAGAATTGGGCGTCAGTATTATGCACGCATACATCCGGTAACCCCATCTTTATATTATGTAATTAGCTGAAATCTTTTTTAAACATTTTCAATGAATATACTCTAATATTAATTATGTTTCTATTTAAGGTTGTTATATGACAAATTGATGCGCGGGAATCAATTGTCAAACAGATTCCATTTTGTGTCTTCCTCCCGTGTCAGCGGAGCGACAATTGGTAGGGAACCGGATTCAGTAAGAGAGCACTTAGTCGAAAGATTCATGGCAACTGGCAGTACAGAAAGCTTATATCTTTGGGCGTATAATACTATTCCTACAGAGTTAGATTTTCATTCTAAATTCATTTTAATATTTGTAATTTTTGCGTAGAAAAATTTCTTCTAAACTGTTGTTTTAATTTATAGACGTCACTGGTTGTTGGTTGCTATCGATCCTATAAAAGAAGTGGTCTATTATCTGAATTCGGTTGACGGTGATTGGACAAATTATCCGGATATGAAGTTAATGATTGATACGTAAGTGAGATTATTCTAAATATTTATGTGTATTTATGTATTTAATTATTTCTGTGACATTGTTCTAAATATATATTTTTAATTTTGTTAGAGCGATACAAGTATTCCGGTGTCAAAGAGAAGCTCGGGTACGACGGTCTAAATCAAACAACATTAATTGGATCAAAGTGCAGGTATATTAATTTCCACTATTTTGCTTATAATATTTACGCTATTTGATAAAACAATACAACTATATATTCTTATTTGTTTTTCTATGTAGTGTCCTCAACAGCAAAACGGTATAGATTGCGGATACTTCGTTATGCGGTTTATCAAAGAAATCATTCAACTGAATCAAATAGAGATTCCAATCACGGTATGAATTTATAACTTAGAATTTGTTTTATTATTTCTCGGATATTCCATATAATTTTTTTCTTTTAACTAAATCATGCATATTATGTTTTCTTATGTAGTACTTCGATGAGTACAAATGTGCATATTACACGAAACTTCAGTTGGAAGAAACCAAAGAGGAGTTGTGTCAATATTTTATTGAGCAGAGAATAATATAAGGACTGGTTTAGTTGTTGTTAGGGTTGATTTTGTAAGACTGACTTTGAGTTAGAATACAAATAACAATGGTTTATATATAATTTGAGATACAAACATAATTTATGATTGATTTTGAGCAATGATAGTTTCTTGTTTATGGTTTCTTGTGTTATACTTGTGTACTAAAGTAGTTGATAAAATAAAATGAATTTAGTGAAAAGTATTGAGTATTGGTTTTGTTATATTGAGTATTGGTTTTGACTCAGAAACCGTAAACCATGGATAAGACATGGATGTATTCCAATCGATTGTCGAAAGAGTACGAGAACGGGGTATCGGAATTACAATGCATTACCGCTATTTATGAATTACAGGTTATGGCAAACAATGCAGGTATATGAATGATATAAATAATACCTCTAAAAACAAACACCCTATGAAAGCGCTTTTTGGAGAAAAGCGCTTTCATAGGTAGACCTATGACAGCGCTTTTTCACATAAAGCGCTTTCATAGGTAGACCTATGACAGCGCTTTTCCAAGAAAAAGCGCTGCTAAAAGACAACATATGAAAGCTTTTTTCCAAAAAAAGCGCCACCAATGAAAGCGCTTTTTAATAAAAAAGCGCTGTCAAAAGCCTACTTAAGAGAGCGCTTTTTAGAAAAAGCGCTGCCAAAAGCCTACTTAAGAGAGCGCTTTTTAGAAAAAGCGCTGCCATAAGGGTACTAAAGAGAGCGCTTTAAAGAAAAAGCGCTGCCATAAGGGTACTTAAGAGAGCGCTTTTTAGAAAAAACGCTGTCATAAGTCGACCTATGAGAGCGCTTTTCATTAAACAAAAACCGCTGCTAAAACCTTTAGCAGCGCCACCTTAGAAAGCGCTTTTAAGCGCTTTTAAAGGCCAAAAAAGCGCTTTCGTAGGTCTTTTTTGGCGTAGTGAAAATACAAATAAAAATAAATTATTATTATGTATTTTTAAACCCCATATTCCTCATCTGCCGCATGTACCCCAAAACATCATGTTGCCTCGAACAAGATGGCCTCTAAAGCGATCATACTATAATTGTCTTCCTCAATGTCTTCTCTCTCTATAATATCTCTCGCAATGTCACAACTTGGAGTGGCTCACTTAGAAAAGTGTTAGAAGGTATTTAGTTTGGATGCATTCGGAGATATCTCTAGAATAAATTTTTGAGAAAATAAATAAAAAAGTTATCTTTAGTTAATCGGCATTCAATACGGACCATTCAAATTCAATAATAATAAATGAATGGTGAAGATTAGCACTTGACCATGTTGTAAAAGAGACTTTCCCACCTTAAACCCCACCCCATTAATAGATATGTTCACGAAGTTGTCAAATCCCCAGATTCATTTACTCTAAAGTTGCACATTCTTTTGGTCATTGTACGATAAAATCAAGCATGCCGCGTTCCCTCCACTAGCCACCAAACATTCTAGTTAGTTTTACACAACTCGTGACTTTTGTAAATTAGTACACTCCATTTTCGTAGTTATCTTGCCTATTAAATTTTTTTAATCATATTTTCCTTTTTGTCTTATTTGCATGTGTTAATGACTTTAATCTCCTTTTTTTTTTTTACAAGAATGACTTTAATTTACTTAAAGAGATGGATTAAAGATTAAAATAAATTATTTAGATGAGAGAAGAATGCATGTGCACAACCCTAGTCACACTTTTACTTTGTTACTTCAATAGAATGAGTGTTTCAATGTTTTTGCCTCCACTTGACTTAAACAATTAAAAAATATTTTCTCATTGATGTGTTTGTTCAATATTACAAACTTTTTTTGCATGAAATACAAACTATAGACATAGTAAATTTGAATTATGTATAAAACTATTTTACAGACAACATTGTATAGATTATGTTAACACTAAAACTTTGAACAGGAGGACTCTATCTTACACGTCTCTTCATTGTAATTGAAATTTGAAATTGAACAACACAAGCTTCAGAAAACACTAACACAAAACTTATTATGAGACAAATGTTAAAACAAAACAACATGAGTCTAGTAATAAAATAAAACAAATCTTCATTCCTCTAGGCTAGCTGCTGCAACTCTTCTTTTCCCTGATATTTTCCATTTCACAATAGCACGAATCTTACACCACACTGCTTTTGGTTTCTCAATGTTTGATATTACCATATCAACCAAAGTGCTACACTCAGCTTCATCAAAATTACCATCTAAAACATCATAACTGTTTCCTGGTATTTCTCTAATGTCAGGCTCTCGATCAACATTGATTTCAACATTTTGCGTTCCATCATTAACATTTGAACTAGAGATAAATGGATCAGGACTCAGTAAATCAACTAAAGTGCTCCACTCAGCTCCTTCAAAATAACCAACATTTATGAGATTCTCTATTGAATGACAATAATTGTTTTCTGGTATTTCTCCTATGTCTTCCACCGGATCAACATTCATTTCAATATTTTGCATTCCATCATTACCATTCTCTGCAGAGATATCAATATGTTGCACATCTTGTTCTTGCGTTGATTTTATACATGCTTCTAAGCTTATGGAGTTCAATGTACCCTCATCAATTGCTTTTAAATTTTCAATGTTTTTGTATGCATCTTTCTTCACCATTTCAACCAAATTCTGTAAAATAAGCACAAACATATTCACTATTTTCCTTCAACTATAACAAAAGAGTTATTACATATTATCTAACTCTATGTATACCTTCTGGATGGGTGTGAGTCTGAGATCATCTGGTAAATAAAACTTTTGTGTATCAAATGTCACACCAACAAGTTCATAGATCACATTGAATAGAAGCAGTATTGGTTCTCGAATTATCTCATAGCTATAAAGCATGTAATCATCTACAACACACGACCGGGCATGTTCGATAATATCAGACCAGCATTTCTTCTGAATTTTTCCAAATTTCTACATCTCAACAGAAAAAACATTCAATTAACTTTTCCATTGAACGCAAAGATTTCACAATTTTTTGTCATCTGATGAAGTTGATTCACTTTAAAAAGTAAAGTAAGTAATGTCGATCGTTAAAGAGAAACAATGATTTACCTCACGTAATGAAGATTCATTGGTTATGAGTAACCTCAACAGATCCTTAACAGTATGAATTCCGTTGCTACGGAGTCGGTCACGGAATGGTCCATTTTCAGAAATTTTCTTCAAACGCCACACATCATCCTTCAAGTATGGAGGATAATGTTTCTTGTAAGCTTCAATGACCAAACCAAAACACATGTTAAAAACAAAAACAAAAACAAAACATGACAACAACAAAAAAACATAAGTGAACAATTAATGAAACTCACCTTCTCCTCTGACATCTTTGACCCTAAAAGCTTTACTTCTACCTTCCTTAATGATCTCTCCGTTTTCCATAGCTTTTGCTCCTAAACTGAACTTTTTGTTTTTTACCCATCCAGAGTTATCTGTGAACATAATTTTAGAAATAGAAGCAACTCCGTTTTCAAGAGTAACAAACGTGTCTCCAACCAACAATGGTTCTTTATTCTCTCTTTCATGCAAGATATTATCATTGAATTCATTTTCAGTCCAATCTTCATCATCAACAAATTCAAACTCACCCTTGATGGGACAAATCTCTATCTTTATTGAAGAGAAAGGACCATCGTTGACTATTGACTTAGATCTAACATCAAATAATGCAACTTGAAATAGTTCATCCTTTGGAATTATATTAGTTTTAGTATAAGTCATAATTGGCAACTTATTGTTATTCATAAAACACAACTCTAAGAATCTAGATCCAGATTTGCCAGCATCATTATTCTTGTCTCTGCATGAAAATTCCGAAACATAAAAAACATTAAATAATGTAGTAAAATTATAATACGTGATGTATGTTGATAGTTTTGATATGAAAAACAAACCTTGAAAATAAGTGCTCTTGGAGTTTTCTTACGACCTCATCTTTTACCACTTCTCGAATGTAAGATTCTATGAGGAGCGAGTCGTGATCATTCATCTTTAGAGCGTTAATCATTTTTTTAAGGCCACTACACAGAATAATGGACAAGATTAAATCTTTAAGTGATTACAAACCAAACAAACACCAAAAAAATAAGTATATACTATACCTATTTGATGCTTGTTTTGTAACACCAAGATTCTGATTCGACCCAAAACTAAGAATCCTACGAAATTGATTATCGGAAACCATCTCAAAAATTATGTAATCTGCTTTTCCTAGATCTCAGAGTGATGTTCTCTCGACTAAAAACTGATAAGAAGTGATGTGAATGATTTGAGAGTAAAGTCGCTTATTTATAGGTTTGCGTGATGGTTATAAGTTCGAAGTAAATACATATAATGATTAAATAAATATAAGAAATGTTAAGCAAAGAGACTCATTGACTATTTATAGGAGTACTCTCACATTATGTGTCTTTTTTACACTTTCATTGACTATTTATAGGAGACTCTCACATTATGTGTCTTTTTTACACTTTTTAAAATAATTATTAATCATTTTAATTTTAATGAAAATAACCTTATTATTTTAATAGATAGTAGAATAATTATATGAATTAAAATAAAATAAATAAAGATAAATTATTAGAAAGAAATAATAAATATTATATTGATATTTTAAATAGATAAATAATTTAATACAAATAAAAATAGAAAAGAAAATATCTATTATAATATGGAGAGTAAATTTTTTTAATAATATATATAATTAATGCATTAAAAACTAAAATAATTAATTTCATAAAAAATATTTCCTTTTATTTAATATCTTTAAAGAATATTCTCATAATAACAACGTTAGTATGATCCAATAAATATTAACTTCACATATCACTATTTAATAATATTAGGATTTTATTTTAATACTTTTAAGTATCGTACACTAGTGTTGTACGGTGTGTCAAAAAATTTAAAATTGAAGATACACGTAATTTTTTTTTTGTTAATATAACTCTGCTTTTAAATATAAGACTTTATTGAATAAATTATGAGAATTAAAAAAATTGATTAGAATAATAAATTTATTAATTATTTTATATAATATTATAAATTTATCTTTAGAAGAGATAAATAATTAATATATATATATATATATATATATATATATATATATATATATATATATATATATATATATATATATATATATATATATATATATATATATATATATATATATACTAGTCGATAACCCGTGCTGTCGCACGGGGCCGGTCGAGAATTCATAAAACGTGGAACTAATGTTGTCATGTAACAGTAAAATCGTTTTTATGAAATTCAATAAAAGTTTATCTAATTCGGCCAAATTTAGTGTATCAAACTTATTTGACAACATTAAAAAATGTAAACTGAAATCATGATTGTGTAACAATATAAGAAACTGTGATGACTCTTCAAAATAAGAAACTATCATGAGTCTTCAGATACAACGCAACCAGCTTGGAAACGATGTTTTCAACTTTATCACCTGCACAATATATGATGCAAAAATTAGACAGCATTTACGAAAACAATTTATATTAAAGAAATTATTTGTTATTATGTACTTACCGATCAACAAAGAGATTGGAAAACTTCTTTGTATACAACATTTGTAGTGATAGATGTTGATACATTCATACTATCATGTATTAAGATCTTTAGACCACTTTTGCTTGTAACTCTTGAAATGGCTACATACAACTGGCCATGACTGAATACAGGAGTAGGCAAATACAATCCAACTGTATCAAGTGATTGGCCTTGAGACTTATTAATTGTCATTGCGTACGACACAATAATTGGGAACTGTCTCCTAATCAACTTAAATGGCCACGGTGACTCGGAAGGTGACATAGACATTCGAGGGATGAAAAAGATGTTACCAACATTCTTACCAGACATGATCTTTGCCTCAATAACGTGATTTGCCAACCTTGTAACAATTAGTCTTGTTCCGTTACACAAACCATCGTTTTGGTCCAAATTCCTCATAAGCATTATTGGTGTACCAACCTTTAATCTAAGTTTGTGATTTGGGACACCTGAAGTCCTAAGCTTGCTAAGAAATTCTGGAGTAAGACATTCATAGGCTTCGGTGTAACTTGAATCAGTTCTATCAATCGAATCAAAACTCAAATACTCTTTGTCCTCACCTAAGAAATGGGAAAACGCGAATCAATCCATAATGTTTTTTCAAGATTTATTTAATAACGAAACATCTACACGAAAAGAAACATCAAAAGAAAAAAGAGTTTACCCGGTATCATGTCTAACACGTAATGATTAATTTTATCAACAACTTCAATGGTTGAAGCAAGTATTGTTTTTCCTTGTAGAAATTCTACATTTTGAAAGTAGGCAAGCAAATTTGGGTATGTGCTTTCAACTATAGCTCTTATTGGATCCTCAAAATTGGAAATTAACAAATCAGGAGGAATTTCTATATCAGCTAATCCATCGTTAGGTTCACATATTTTACCGTCGCCAACATTTAATATCCATTTAGAGAATTCTGCAAGTTCATCAAAAGTTGTAACGTCCCTCCCATTCTGTAGTCTCGTGTTTTTGGTTAGTGTTAAGACTTGGCAATAGTCCCACACATAAGAAGAACAAATGGAAGCATGAACAATATCAGAACGGCCTGCTCTTGGAACAACTGGAAGTATCTGTCGAAAATCTCCTCCAAATATAACTACCTTGCCACCAAAAATTGTATTTGCAAAACCCTTATCGCTCATGACATCCTTAAGGGTCTTATCCAAGGCCTCAAAACAATTCTTATGAGCCATGGGTGCTTCGTTCCATATTATGACATCAGTAGCTTCGAATAACTGTGAATGCTCAGAGTCTTTGTCAACATTGCAAGTAGAGTTGTCAAGCGTTGGAATGGGAATTTTGAACTTCGAATGCGCTGTTCTACCACCTGGCAATAATAAGGAAGCTATGCTACTTGAAGCAACAGCCAGAACAATTTTTTTATCTGAACGAAGTGCACTTGATAATGTCCTCCACATAAACGTTTTACCGGTTCTGCCGTATCCATGTAAAAAAAACACGCCTCTGTTTTGTTTCTTGACGGCGTCCATTATGGTTTCAAAGATTGCACGTTGCTCATCTTGACGTTCAAATGAAAAGAATCAATACAACAGTAGTTTAATGAAAACATCGATATTTGAATAATGAGGAAATACCTGTTAAAGATGAAAATAGATTCTGGAAGTTTTGTCGCTCTGAATCAGCATCGTAATCACGTTCATCAAAAATCAGTCTATTGCCGACATGTCGCGTTATATACAAATCTGGAAACGGCATATCTTTGAATTCACGCAAGCTTCTTCTATTTGATTGCATCATATTCTCAATCTCAATTAATGTGAGGTTTGTCAGTTCTGCCGTTGACAATTGCATGTCTTCCAACACAAATACAAACCAAAAGAAAATATAACTATTTTGTACAATAGAAATCACAGTGTTGATGAAGATAGACATGCAAAAGGATCGTTAACCTTACAATGGCAGTATCATGGAAAAGTTCAGTATAATGCAAGAGCATCAGACATTCGGGTTCATTAAAAATGTTATGTTTTTTATCAGTAGCTGTGACAAAAGGTGGTTGAAGGTAAAAGATAAATCACAGAATTATTCTGTTCTGTGTTGATGGGGAGTAATAACAGATTGCATTAGATATTTTTATTACTGATGAAATGGCAGCATTGAAAGGACTTGCTTACTGGAACTTATGATTCTTTGAAAGGGCAGCATTGAAAGGGGTTGTTGAAAGGTGCTGTATGAAATGTAACATATATATGGAAGTATAAAGGGATTGAAATTATTGCATCCAAAGTAGTCTAAAAGGTATTATAAGAAGAAAAACTCATTATAATAGTTTCGTACGGTTTGTAATTGTATGAAATTTAACAGAAGTATTTAGGTATTTGTTAAGTGTACCTCTTATTCCAGTGACAATTCTCTGTTGATGAAGAATACCGTCAGATAGCAACTTCCAAGTCTGTTGCCAAACATGTCGCGGCCGATTAACAGTACCAGACAACAGCATCGTGACAAATAGTTTCCTCAAAAAATTACCGGAACCCCAATCTTTGGCCTCATTTATGGCTGCAACATATTCTTTGTCGTCGTTAAGAAATCCCATCTCAAAGCATGCATCTCTAAAACTGTCGCGGACGACTCCACCAACCTTTTTTATATCGTCATAGCAAGTAGGTCCCTTGACAACCGTCAACATCATTCTAAGATAATAGAGCTCACCAGTGCTTGGAGGAACCCAAATTAACCGGCCAATCGTACGACCTCTTTTTCGAGGTCTTCATAAACGGTACCTTTTATCGTAAACGAACTTGGAAAGAAAGGCAGTGTATGTTAAAGTCTTTGCATCTTCGTATTTTTTGTTTGACTCCATCCAAGCTGTAAACATTGATTCCTTTACAGTTGGTTTTTCAAGAACATTGTCTATGAAATCATAGTCAGTGTAGTAAACCGGATTTTCGCCTTCCAGATGAAAATACAACCTTTCGACAGAAGGAGATCTACCATGGATAGGATATAAAAAAATCCTCCAACACGCCTCACTGGGGGAAACGTACCTGCAATCAAGGTACTGTTTGATTTCATCAACATCTGTACCAAATGAACTTCCGTCTGATTCGGTCCGAACAACCGCTGCAGTTATTCTATCGTAACCTTTGTTAATATACTTGAATAAGTACTTGACAGAAGTACCTTGGTTACACCATTCCATATTAATGTGCGCCTGATATTTCTTTAGAAGATATGCATTATAAGGAACTACATACCTATTATCAAGAACAATACTTTTTTTCAGAACAGTAATGCCAGTATCCCTTCTCCTATAGACGGGATAGCCATCTTGATCGACAATGGTTTGAGGCTGCCAATTTTTGGGAAAGAATTTAGAGCATTTACCATTTTTCATGCAAGGGGAAGATCTGTTAGCCAACCCACATGGACCATGAATCATATGTGTCTTTACCAAATGATTTAATTGTTTATCATCCGTTTCTGCCGGTATTTCTGCTGAAATAATGTTGTTGATGTCATCCGGAGTGGGAAACTTGTTCTGGGGATGCATGAAAAGTAAAATGTGTGCATGGGGCAAACCTCTCTTTTGGAACTCAATGGTGTATATATCTAGAAGAAATTAAAATACAGTAAAACATTAATTTAAAA